GGTGTGTGAGAATGTGTGTGTATGTATGGGCACGCGTGTGTGCATGTGTGTATGTGTGGTGTGTGTGTGTGTGTGTGTGTGTGACTACATAAGTAACTCTGGTTAAATTAGGAATTTACTGTTTAGACTAGAGTGATCCTCTTGTCTTTATGTACACAGCCCTGAGGTTCCACACGAGGCTCAAGAGCTGGTCTTGAGATGTAGACTAAGCTGGCTGGTTCTTTCTCATCACCTTGACCTAGACGCAGGCTACAGTCATCTGGGAGGAGGAGCCTCACTTGAGAAAATGCCTCCATCAGACTGGCCTGTAGGTAGGTCCACAGAGCACTTTCTTGATTCCTGATTGATATTCGTGGGCCCAGCTCTTTGTGGGTGGGGCCACTCCGGGGCAGGTGGTCCTGGATGGTGCAAGACAGCTGGCTGGGCAAGCCGGGGAGGAGCAAACCAGGAAGCAGCGCTCCACCGGAGGCTCTGCTTCACTTCCTGCTTCCGGGGTCCCGCTTTGAGTTCCTGCCGTGACTTCACTCCGTGATGGGAGTGTGACCCTGGAGTGTCAGATACACCCCTTCTTCCCCGAGTTGCAACTGGTCACGGTGTTTGTCAGGTATCCCAGTGGAAAACTGACTTGGGCAGGACCTTGGTGCTTCTGAAATTGGCTGCCGTGGACAGCCGAACTGGCTGCTAGTCCCCTCTGATAAAGTGCCACACCGGTACAGGATCAGCCCACGCCGCAGCACGGGAGGTGGCATGGCGGTGGGGACACTTCCAGTTCCGGTGGGGAAGAGCAAACCCTTCCTGGTTCAGTGGTGAGAAGAGCAAACCCTTCCTGGTTCAGAGGTCCCCATCACCCTTTCCCATGCTGTCGAAACTACAAAAGAAAATGGCTTGTGCTTATACTGTAGGTCAGGGAGAGACTCTCAGCAGCCTCCAGGGGGGACTCTAATTCTTTCTCTCCTTGCTGTTTAAAAACATAATATTTCTTAATTCTTTGAGGATTCCATACACTGTATTTTGATCATATTCCGCCCCTTCCCCCCCTCCAGATCCACTTCTGCCTTTCCTAACTTTGTGTCTTCTTCAAAAACAATGACGACAACCCAAGTCCAACTCATGTTGTCCATATACTGGGTGTGTGGTACCCACTGCAGGATGGGCTCCTACTTATAAAACTTCATCCTAGAGGCTGACAGGGTGGCTCAGTGGGTAAGGATGCTTCTCATGCAAGTCTAGGGACCCGAGTTTGATCCCTGGGGCCCACATAGAGGCGGAAGTAAACAATTGACTCTATAATGTTGTCCTCTGACCACCACACAAGCACCATGTATGTGTGGCAACACACACACACTGACACACACACATACATACACATACACTGATACACACACTGACACACACACACTGACACACACATATACACACATGCAACACACACACACATACAACACACACATATCCACTGACACACACACATGTGACACACACACATATAGGATGTAAAAACAAAAATTAAATTTAAAAAAATTTCATCTTGCTTTAACCCAAAAGCATTTCCCGTTCTCCCTCACCACCCCCTGCCCCCACCGTTCATAATAATCTGTCTATTTCAACTTCCTTTTTAGTTAAATCGCTTTGGGGAAAATATTTCACCTTTTGAGCCTCCGGCAGATCACTTATCTATGGATAAAGATGACAGCAACTCATTTGTGAATCTGACAAAGTCTGTCAAAAGTACAGATGATGTTACCTATTTTTATATCAATCTTGTTGCTTGGAATGTAGTCTTCAGATAGGCACTCACATGCAGAAATGGTATTACAGGTCTAGTCATTGCAGCATTAATGGTTATAACAAAATATTGGGAACAACCCTATTGGCCACCTCTGGATACTAGCTGAATAAACCATGTCACATCATGCCATTTTCATCCATTGCAAAACCATTGAGCAAGACCAGAAAAGTCTGGTTTTTTCAAGTATTTGTGGTATAATAAAAAATATGTCTTTTAAGTATTTGAAGCCCTTGCTGCTCTTTCAGAGGGACCTGGGCTCAGTCCAAAGCGCCCACATCTGGCAGGTCACAACCGCTTGTAACGTAACTCCAGTCCTAAGGGTAGTCAATGTCTTCTTTAGCCTCTGTGTACACCTACACACATGTGGAGCACATATACACACACAAGCACAACATACACACACATGAAAGAGAAAAGTGTATCTTTTAAAAATGTTGTTTTCTGTTCCCTGATTCCTAACAAGGGCTCCTGGACTCATGAAAAATTTCAGCCCCTTGTTTTCTAATGAAGCAACTGATGGAGCAGGAAACAGGTTTTCAATGGAACAGTTCCTCAGAAAGACCTTGCTTGAGTGGAGGGTTGTAACTTCCTGTTCCCAGAAACTGGCCTTTGAGGTTGAATTCAACAATCAATAGTTAATGGTGAACTTCGTGGAACCCTTAAACATTGTATTCAGAAGGCTGCCATATTGGTGAGTATATCAGGGAACGCCAAAGAGTTGTATGCCATCCTGCCATACCTCGTCTCAAAACTCTTTCCTGTGTTTACTTCCAAGGTTTCTCCTTTCTAAGAAGGGTACAGCTGCAGCCATACCACCCTGAATGTGCCCCACCTTGCTCAACAAAACTGAGGTCATATGCAGGTGCTTTCTAGAGTTCTTGCAGCCGTTTGAGTGAATTATCAGACATTGGGGGCGTGCCTCATGGAGAAACATGGTCAGCAGAAACATGGGTCACATGGGGACCCCAGTTGTGACTGACATCTGTGGTGGGAGCATCCTCGTTTGGAGACTTCAGCTTGCGGAATGAGGCGCTACTTCTGGGTAGACGATATCAGAATTGAATTGAGTTAGTTGCTAGATGCCCAGTTGTGTTGGAGAATTTGGTTAAGACAAACAGAATGCATTTGACGTCAGGGGCAAAAAAAAAATTCCATGGCAGAAAACAAAAAACGTCACGTTGGTTAATTTTCTGTGGTGAGAAACAGAGCAAGCCTCTACTTCACTTTTACTGGCATGAGCAAATTCATTTTCACCCAGACAGGGCACCCTAGTGACACATCACAGACACCATCCTATCCAAGTCTGGACTGAGGGACCTTACTGGGACATGGGTGAGAGGTCACTTCACGGGAGCACGGGTGACCCCCAAACAGCTGCATCACTGCAAAGTCTCACCCCAGCATGGCAGATGACCTTCCAGAAACTGCATAGATGGTGAACCTCTTCCACAGACCTTCTGTGTCTGGAAAACGACAACTAGGCCTTCCATAGTTGGGCAGGAGTACAGAAAACAGAGTGACTGGAATCTATGGTGAAGCTCTCTGATGAAGGTCTGTAAACAGGCCTGATCTTGTGAGGGTCTCCTGAGCATCGATAACCGTACTAATTTCAAGATAGCTGTGGCCATGTCACGCCTTGAGGCCCGAGTTCTCTGGGCACTGGCACTTGTTCATATCTAGATGATGAGCTGGGGATGGTAGACCAGAAAGCCATACAATGATATCTAGAGGTAGCAGTGATCTGGTGTAGCAGGCACGGGGCTGGGCTCACAGCTTCTCTGTGTAGAGTTTGAGAGTGGTTTCAGTGTTTGACGCCTAACTCACAAGGCGTCAAACAAAAGCTTTTCGGTGTTTAACCCCCATCACACACACACACACACACACACACACACACACACAAGGCGCCAGCCCCGCCCTTTCAAGTGAGTGAGTGTGTGTGTGTGTGTGTGTGTGTGTGTGTGTGTGTGATGGGGGTTAAACACCAAAAGCTTTTGTTTGACGCCTTGTGAGTTAGGCAGGGCAAGCCCTGCAACCATTTAGAAATGAGGGAACAGAAGTCACCGTTGCTTAAGATGAGTCCTGCTCCCTAGACTCAAGGCCCCCAGGGCAAGCCTTCAGAAGAGTGCCAACTGGTTTAGCTCTCTGCTGTTGCCGGCTCAAAATCCTTCACCCTCACGAACTGGGGCTCTGTGGTTTCTCCCGACAGGCCTGCTCGGCCTTTTCTGGTGAATGGCTCCTCCGAGGCTCTTCCCGGATGCCAGGAAAGCCCGGCCTATTCAGGACCAGGCTGTCCCCGTCCCAGGAAGCTCCTAGACTATCTGGCCTGTTTGTTCTTGTGGCCTGCGGCCTCTCCGAGGGCTGAGGGATAACCCATCAGTCCCTCCTAGGGTCACCAGGGTTCCTGCTGTGCGCTGCCCCAGGTCCTGCTGGGTAAATCAGAGCCCGACTCTCTCAGTTCATCAGAGTCAAAGCTCTCAAAAGCCAGTTTAATTAAACCAAGAGGCTCTTGGGCTTTCTCAGATTAGACAGTGATCGGACCCACTTGCAACACTGGGCTTCTTGGTGTGTATGTAGGGTAGGGGACTCCACGTCCTTGTCTTGGTCCAATTCTCTCCCTCTGACAGTCTCTAAGAGTAAGGGATGTATTCAAAGTGGGGCAGAGAGACAGGGAAGAGAGTCCTTGCTCCCGGACCCTACAGGTGCTTTAGAGTCCTCTTACAGAGTTCATTAGCATGGATCACACAAAGCGATGGCGTTGATTATGGCATTTGCATTCAGATACTTTGAACAGTGTTCATCCTTCTGCCCTCCTCTGCCCCCTCTCTTTTGTCATACAGACAGCCTCATTATTTTTTGCTTTTATGTTCCATGTGGTCTTGCTCCTGTGATCACTTCTGAAGATAATTCTTAGATGCTGTGAGCATTAGGCCTCTGACTATCTCCCTGCGAAGGTTGCAGGGAGTTGGGGGGGAAGGGGTAGGGTGCCAGGGGAAGGTGTGGGGTGTTGGGGGAAGGGCAGGGGTGCCAGGGAAGATGCCAGCTTTCTCCAAACCTTCTTCCCAGCTGGCTTGATGTTTATATTCCAACACCTCACCCCATCGCCATCTCGCTCTATATGTTTCCAAACTCTGGCTCCCTCTTGCCCTCTCCAGAGGCCTATGAAGAGCGGCTATGTAACTGTGCATACAAGGAAAAGCCCATAAAACAGATCAAACTTTTAGATTTTTTATTATGCATTTGACATGTCTTCTGAGTGTTCTCACAGTGAGAGGATTTGTCTTTGTGATACAGTCTGGCCACTGTACCACACACTCTAGCTCGAAGGAATATGATGAGTTCAAATCCTGAACACAATTTAAAATCTGTCTGTCTGTCTGTCTGTCTATAGTGCCTTCTCTGTTAATAGATCCCATAAAGGAGTTGAGTAGAAAACAGTTCCCCAATAAATAATTTCTTCTCGAAACTGTACACCCACCCCAACAAGCTATCACTCTTACCCCCCCATAGACAGGCACGTTCACACCTGTAATAACTTAGGAGGCACTCCTATGAAGTTCAACATCTGGTTAAGACCCGACTTCACACACCAGCTAAAGTGTCTCCACATGGTGCCCTTGGCACATACCCAAAGACAGGTTCTCATTGCTGTGGGGCCTGCTGGGGAGGTGGGCAGACTGTCCCCAGCTGGGCCCACATAGCAGAGTTTACATGGGAACCCACAGTCCACCCTCCAACAGACACACACACACACACACACACACACACACACACACACACTTACTGTGAACATAGCAGACAGAGTTCAGCTAAAAGATTTTGAACCATCAGGAGTTACAATTCCCAGTTGTTGACAATTATATAAACAGGAATTTACATAATGTACAAAGAGTTTGTGTTTTCGGCTTATTTTGAAGCCACTCCCTAAAGAAACACATTTATTCGTGAAAGCAGATATTCAGCCTAATAGCCTTTGGCTGGACTCTCGGCAGGCATGGGAACTCTGACAGAGAGGCCGTCCTCGGAACCCACAGCTCTTTTCTGAGTGTCCCGGAGTTCGAAACCACCAAGAATGGGTTTCCTCCTTTCTGTCTCACAGACGCCAAGGTCTCTTGTCTCCCTTTCCTCCTGTGTTTGAGACTTCTTCTGCTGAGAACCAGGCACAACTGGACATTTATTAAGTCCGGTGAGCTGAAGATTCACAGACTACAGCGCAGCTAGGACCCAGGGCTCAGACAGACAGATGCCTTGCAGCCTCAAACTCCCACAGGCCTGGCAGGCTGCAGAGGCAAGGCTGCTCCCACCACAGGTGTCCTGCAACTTGTAGGCGATGGATGCAGCTTTACTTCTGTGACGACCCAGCCTGGTATCCACTTACTCTCCAAGAGGAGTCATGTCAAAAGCCAGTGAGTAGCTTTCTGACTTAACATACTTCCCAAACGGCTTCCTTGTGAAACTGGAGCCACAGGCATCTGGCCCCCGGGGCACATCTGGGATCATTTTCCCCATTAGGGGAGCTGGGGTCCTTTGGGCTTGGACATTCTTGGGGTGGGGAGTACTGGTACGCGGAGGTTCTCTGGAAGGGTTTTTCTTTCTCTCTCCCCCCTCCCAGGCCAATTCTCCCCTTGTCCCTAAAGAGGAAATTTGAACTGTGTAAGTACAATAGCTCTTTCCTGAAAGGCAGTTGGCAGGCAGGGAGAGCGAGGGTGATATCTGCTGCAGGAAGCAAGAAGCATTGGTAACAGTCTGCTACGGCCGGCGGGCTTTGTCTGTCCTTGACTTCAACCTATTTCAAGGAAAGAGGACAAAAGAGAAAAGGAGGGTGTCATGACAGGGGGCCAGCCCTTTCGACTTGAAGAGACGATTTCTGGCCACACCTCTAGCTGTCTCCTGCCTGGAAGTTCCCCCTTACCAGTGCTGAGTGATTTCAGATGCGGGGAGAGTCGAAAGGTGTGAAAAGAATAATTGCAGCAGGCGTGGCCACTGGGAGGTCTTCAGTTGGTTCACTCTTTGGTGAGACCCTGGTTATTACCAACTCATATCTTACAGGGAAGCAGGGAGGGACAATGGCTGAATTAAGAGACTTTCCCCTGGCAGGAACTGTCTTCGAAGAACTTCACATGAAGTAGAAGGCTCTGGAATGCTGTCTTGATAGGCTCCAGTGGGACACCTGCCACCAAATTCAATCTTGTTTTGATTGGGTGTGTGGATGGGGTGAGGGGGCAGTGGGTGTGTCTGTGTGTGTATGTGTGTGTGTGTGTATGTGTGTCTGTGTGTGTGTGTCTGTGTGTGTATGTGTGTGTATGTGTGTCTCTGTGTGTGTATGTCTCTGAGTGTATGTGTGTCTCTGTGTGTGTCTGTGTGTGTGGATGTGTGTCTGTGTGTGTGTATGTCTGTGTGTCTCTCTGTGTGTGTATGTGTGTGTCTGTGTGTGTGTCTCTGTGTGTGTATGTCTCTGTGTGTATGTGTGTCTGTGTGTGTGTGTCTGTGTGTGTGTGTCTGTGCTTGTGTATGTCTGTGTGTATGTGTGTCTCTGTGTGTGTGTGTGTGTGTGTGTGTGTGTGTGTGTGTGTGTGTGTGTGTGTATCTGTGTGTGTGTGTGCCTGAGGAGGTCAGAGGGTAACTTCAGCTGTCATTCCTCAGGATTGGTCACTTTATCTTTTTCTTTCCTTCTTTTTTTTTTTTTGAAGCAGGGTCTCTTAGGGGGACCTGGGACTGTTTGTTTAGGCAGGGTTCGCTGTCCAGAGAGCCCCAGGAAGCTGCTTTTCTGTCACCCCAGCCTTCACCCTCAGGCTTGCACAGTAAGCACTTTACTGGGTTCCCCTCCAGTCGCCCTTGTCTGAAACACCTCTCCCTCCCACATCCTGCATCCATGCAGCTCATGCCTCAACTCTCTGCGCCAAGGTCACCCGGCTGGTGAGATGGCTCCTGTCCACGCAATCACAAACCACAGCACTTTCTATCCCGTTTTCCTTGGCTTGCCTCGGATTATCTTGTACATAGCTGTCTTCTGTCTGCTTCCACCACTAAACAAACTAGAGAAGACCCATTGCCTCATTCTCTGCACATCCAGAATAGTGAGGACCCAGCAGGTAGCAGGTGCATAACAGATCCTGGCTGAATGATTGCATGAGCAGATTAATAAATGATGCAATGGATGGATGGCTTTAATCACAGCATGCTCTCACCAACAGAGGCTTGGCTAGGGGTAGAAAAAAGGGTGATAAAGAGGGGGAGAGGGGGGTAGGGATAAAGGAAGAGAGAGAGAGAAAGAGAGAGAGGAAGAAAGAAAAAGAGAGAGGAAGGGAGGGAGGGAGAAAGGAAGAGAGAGAGAGAGAGAGAGAGAGAGAGAAAGGAAGAGAGAGAGAGAAAGGAAGAGAGAGAGAGAGAAAGGAAGAGAGAGAGAAGGCTGAGTGGGGACCAGCTGGGGTCTGGCACAGACACTCTGAGGACCTCCTGGTCCCTCCACCTCTCTGTTTCTTTCCATTTTCTCTAGACCGCTGGAAGCCGTCTCACGGATTTGGGAAACCCCTGTACGTAGGCCTTGGTTTAATCTTCCCTTGATCATTCCCTGCAGGAACTAAAGTCATCTCCAGGCTACCATTATGGACATAAATTACCATCCCATTGCAGATATGCAACCGAGCCATTATTAATAATGATTTCTGATTGACAGAATGTCCAGTAGTAAGCCCAGCTTGGTTGCCAGAAGTCCTCAGTATTGCTCATACCAAAAATTAACTAAAAAAAAGAACCCCCCAAAACACATGCATACACATACACACAGACACACACACATACACACACAAAACAAACAAAAAAAGAACAGTTATTAAAACAATAACAAAAGGAGCTGGAAGCTGTGGGGGGGGAGGTCCACTACCCATGTGCACCCGCGCATGTCTACTGAAGAGAGATGACTGAACAGGGATCACTTGGTTACAGAAGTAGAGGCCAAAGTGGGATTGACCAGCTCAGCCCAGAGAGCTGTGAGAATATAGCAGGTAACTGGCTTTGCTTTTCCAGTGAGAGCCGAGCTGGATGTCATCACCCTGGAGCTAAGGGGGACACAGTGTGTGTAGCTCCAAAACACAGAGGGTTTACTCAAGACCAGAGAGGTGACCGTAGCCATATGCATCAAGAACCGACAGACCAAAAGACTCCAGTGTCTATTGGTGGGGACCCTTGTGAGCTCTGGAGTCCCACTGGCTACTTATTGAGGCCAGACGCTACCTCTCCTCCTACCCTGAGCCCCTATGAATGTACCCCATCTTCACCTCTGACGCGGGCTTCTGGTCTCCCCCTTCTCTTCTGCAGCTGGTCTTCCTGCTCTCCGGGAATCACTGTGGGGACACAGCAGTTTTCAGGAATTAGCGTTTCCATGTGGCTGGTTTCGGGGGGTGACCTCCTCTCCCTGCCAACAAGACTAAGTCCCAAGCACCAGCTGTAGGACTGAAGGTCCAGTGAGTATATGTGTGAGTACCACGCCCCTCAGTTCCTCCCTGGATTCGTCAAACCCCAGTTGGGAGGACAGAGGTGCAGCAAGCACCAGGTTTCCCTGACGTCAGCGTCTGCTAGGCTCTGGGTTCACCCAACTCAGATAGATAGATCACTAAGCTCATAAAGGGGACACAAGTTCCATCCACAACACCACACAGCCCTTCCTCTGGGCTCTGCCTGCCGGGCTTTGATGAGTCTCTGCCCAACGTGAAGGGAAAGGGAGCCAAGAGCTCTCTCAGCCATCTAGGGGACAGTGGTCCAGGTGGCCGCCTTGGGACAAGGACGGCGTCTTCCCACTCAAAATGGATCTGTGTGCTTCTCTGTGCAGCTGAGAAGACCATGCGGTTTCAGACTGGGAGAGGAGACCCAGGGGCCACAAAGAAACCAAGAGGGTAACCCAGGTCAAGTGGTCCTTTGTGAGAGATGGCGAGAATGTAAACCCCTGATCGCTGTCGGCAAAGAAAACACTCATGGAGATGGGTGCAGCCTTCACTCTTTAACTGCTTCCAACTCCGGTTTGTCTACAGAGCTACAGGCTGTACCGTGGCCTCTGCTATTCTGAAAGGCGAGGGCGGTTGAGGACCTGGCCAAGCCGCTCTTTACCCACCACTGTGAAGCCCCGGGTTTAGCTTTGCCCGTCAGTAACTGGCACCTAGACTTGAGCGGGACAGGAAGGTGTGCCGTACCTGTTGACGTCTGTGGTGTGTGCACAGAAGCGCTCACAGGCCTTGTCGTCTGTCCCCATACAAGCGCAGCGCAGGCGAGTCTGTGGAGAAGGCTGGGAGTTTTCCGGAAATGGTCCCGAGGACCTTTTTCCCCGAAGGCTTCCTCTGTAGTTGGACAGTCCATAGGGCACAGTCTGTCTGCAGAGCATGGAGAAAGGTTGGGGGAGCCTGCTCAGCTACTCCAGGGCAAAGCACTCCAGGACAGCAATGCTAGCTGGGAACTGTCCCCAATGAGCCTGGTATGCAAATGGTCTGCAGAGACATACGAGGGGTGACTGCCCAAGCAGCCACACAGAGCTGACACAGAGCCTATACACTCAGGAGTGCCTCAGCACACTGAGGTGCCTGAGGCCAAGCTGCAAGCCTCTTTGGGCACACTGTTGGGTTTTTTTTCTCTCTTCACATTAAACCATGCAGGCTCCTGCACAGCACGTCCTAAGACCTCCAGCCCATCCCCAGCCCATTTCAGTTAAAATTCTTGCAAGCATGCGGAGCTGAGTTAAACTCATACACAAAGAGAGGGGGTGTGCTGACATGTGCTTATCCCAATGCCATGGAGTTAGGACAGGAGGATCCTTGGGACTTGGTGACCCGTTGACATTGGCCTCCTCATGCATATGTGCACACGCGCACACGCACGCACACACAAACCACTGGACTTTCCTGCCAGAGGCCTGTCCTTCACACGCGCACACGCACACACACACACAAACCACTGGACTTTCCTGCCAGAGGCCTGTCCTCCATTTACCCAATGCTCCGGACAAAGAAATCTAACTTGACCCATGTGCTGGTCCTTGCCTGGGGCCTGGCTTGGGGCCTGCAAGGCCTTCTATACCTGGGGACATCCTTAGCAACTTTAGTGCTAACTGAAATACAGGGCAGGCCTCAGAGCTGGCACTAGGGACAGTGGGAGATGCAATTACAGTCATTAGAGACCCACCCTAACCCCAGGGTACAGCTCCCTCAAAGACACAAACACCAGCGGGTATCCTCGATGCTCTCCAGGAGCCGTCACCACCACCTCAGTGGGGCGGCTGAGAATGGGATTCCCCACGGGATGATCGTATTGTGCAGCAAAAACTGTCTGAAGTGATGGACCACTTCTGGTTATGGTGGGGATTGGGAGGCGTGTCATCTAGGGCCATAAATGTTTAAATCTGGTTTTAAGAGCGAGCACAGCCCAACCATGGATCATTCTCCAGAGAGGAAAGACTTCTAGAGTTGAGTGAGAAGTTAAAACCACATGCTTAATTCATTAATGTAACTGAACATGATCTGGGAGACAAATTACTATGACCTTGAAGAAACTTATGGGGCCAAGAGCCCTTTTCCAGTAAGTCTGGGCTGTCTTGTTCATTCCTGCTTCTCTGAGTCCCACAGAGTATCACCAATTATCCACCTCAAAGGGTGGCCTCGAATCCTCCCTATGTTTTCAAAATAAAATCAAATTGAATTTCTTCTCCTTAGAAGCACAAGGCTATGAAGCGTTTTTGGGGGCGTTGAGAGTCAGGCAGGGTGGCCTGTGGGAACCAGATGCTCGCACATCAACCGCCTTTCATGCTGGCTTGGAGTCCTAAGAGTATCTCACCTACCCCACGCCCCCTCTTGCTTTTGCCCCAACTCCTTCCTACCAAGTACCCTAAGAGGCAGCAGAGCGAGGTTCCCTGCCAACCCTGATAGGCCTGTCTGTTGAGCAAGGTGGAGCGGGGAGAAGGAAGGTCCTGTTGGGACCTGAATCTCTTCTCAGGACCAGGAGGTGGGGCGAGGGGAGAAGGATAATGCGACCATTATTGTGGGTCCAGATTTGGCTGAAGGTATATTTTCCCAGTACCAGGGTTACAGTCAGTCTCCATCATTTAATGTTGGCATTAAAGCTAGTCCTCTGTTTCTTGGTGGGAATTACACACGATGAACAGCAATGCTTCCGTGTCTCCATCAACACCAAGACCAGCGCGTTTGAAATAGCCGTCAGCTGGTTATGCATCGGAAGGTGTAGAGCCACTCAGCTGAAGCAAAACGCTCTCTCTATCTAATGGGTTTTAGAAGTAAGGAGATAAGACGACTGGGTGTATGTTAATAGAGATATGTTAGCACTTCCCCAGCAGTCTCAAGAAACACCATGTGCAACCCCCCCAAGAGCTTCAAAGGGTGTTTACAGAGCTGAGCCCCCTTCCCAGGGGATGCAGAGCTCTTAGGAGCTGGCCAGAGCTCCTTGGCATGTCCTGCTCCAGTGAGCATGTATAGGGTTTGGAACAAGAGCTCAACATGGAGGCCCACCGACCCCAGGTCTAATATTAAAAGGTTATCGCTGCTTTGATTAATGCTTCCAAAAGAGTCCTGTCCCTCAACCTGGAAAAAATGACACTCATAATGCCCTCAGAACAGCAGGCTTGCATTAGGGATCCGGGTATTCCTTGGAGTTCTCAGATGAAATATGGCAACCAAAAACGACACTGGCAACTTCTCTTCCATCCTGCTTCATCCCACAAGCCTCGTCCATTTCCGGGCTATAGCTGAAGATCTCTGTACTCACATCCTGCAAGGACCTATCCTGCATGTTGAGAGATGCATGCCTTAAGTGTCAGATACTAGAAAATATCTGCACACAGAGGCCCTAGAAGGACCACAGGTGTGGAGACATTCGGGTAGGAGGACCCCAGGACTCAGAACACCAGGAACACTGTCCAGAAAAGGTGCCTTTTAGCTTCAGGGTCTCCTTGCAATGGGTGGACGATGCATGGCCAAAGGAGGACCAGCGGTGGGCCTGTAAATCAGATCCAGGTCCGGATGCTTCCTGCCCTGGTCTGACTCCTGCGGCACACCGGCTTCTCAAGAGCAGGCAGCAGAGCCGGCCGTGGGGGTTCACACCTGTACCCCAAGCACTCAGGAAGTAGGGATGGGAGGACTGACGGTCAAGGCTAACCTTGATTACACAACAAGTTTGAGGCCAGCTTGGGCTATAAGACGGTCTGAAAATCAGACTCAACAAAGCAGAGCAGAGAGCTGATCTTTCACTGCCTCTGAACCATCAAAGCAGAGTAGGACCAGGAGCAGGGGATCACTTCCAGTTAGACTCTAGCCTCAACTACAAGATCTTGTCTTGAGAACAACAAAACATGAAGGAAGGAAGGAAGGAAGGAAGGAAGGAAGGAAGGAAGGAAGGAAGGAAGGAAGGAAGGACAAAAACCCCATTGATTGACGCTTTGGTTTCTAATTATGCAGTAGCCCCAGCTTGACAAGACCAGATTCTTTGCAGCTTATGGGCTCAGTCACTGTAAAGAAACTTCATGGGCTCTTAAGTATTCTCCATATAGCTAAAACTATTGTAAGTGTGAATTGTAAATGCACCCGTGCCTACAAGAATTCACAAGCTACTGGGAGATGAAAACTGATGAGAGAGAGAGAGAGAGAGAGAGAGAGAGAGAGAGAGAGAGAGAGAGAGAGAGAGAGAGAGAGAGAGAGAGATGGTATAAAGTGCAGAGATTACCTGGCGATTCCATCGTCAAGTCATAAAGCGCTTACATGACCGGCACTCCACCCTCCCAGTATACAAAAAGATTGTCAGGCATTTGCTGGGATGAGATGCTCCATTGGAAAATACACAGCAAAGAGTTAGCAATGGATGGAAATTAGATCCTTTGGTTACTTAATTGGTTTGAGAAGCTGGGTTTCATCAGTAGAAAGATTCCACTCATCAGGCCTGCTGTGTTTGTGATGTGTGACTAAGCAATAAGGGAACCAGAAAACCACATCAATGCCATTCCCTGCCCTCCCTCATTTCTGGCAGGTAGGTCACGCACCACCGCCCACCTCGTAAGAGTCATTTGTGTTACTGCCCTTTGTCACCATCCCCTGGCGACATGAATGAGCAACATGAAATACTTAATAGCAGAACCATGAGAATGGAATTAAATTGGCTGAGAACCTTGGACCAGTATACTCAACCCAACTGCGGCAGCCTACAGTTGAGCAGTGAGGCTTGATAATACCATTCCTCGTAGAGACAGGCAGTCCTTCCATCTGTTGGTGTCATTTAATACCACAGAGGCCCGCACAAGAGAAGCAAATGAAGAGATGGGTAAAGAAAACACTCTCCATCATACCTACATATGAAGTGTCTAGTGCTCTGCGTGTTTGCGTAATAAATTATCTCCCAACTTATGCACTGAGAACACTCATTATTTAACCAGCGACGAAGGTGCCAGAATCTTATTTATCACAGTGTCTTTATTTTTAAAGTTTCCCCCAAATGTCATATATAAATGTTATTAAATATTAGACTTCCAAATCGCCTGCATTCAGTTTTCCTCTGCAGCCCCACACCGAGCACCCTTCATTTATCTTTCCATGAGAAGTTTTCAAACAAGGAAAATGACTTCAGGAACAAAACAAAACAAAAAAGGAATGCTTTCTGATTCTGGGGTTCCCCCCCCCTTAGAGAAATGAGTGAGTTCCGCCCTCCTAACGGTGGAGTTGGCAGCTGTGCGTGGCGTTTAAAGGGTGGGCATAGATACGACAAGGGAGCAGCTGGGAACCAGCAGATGGGTGTCACCTGCTGAGTCTGAAACCATCAGGAAAGTGGATCAAACTGAAAGGAGAAAAAATCGCTTCTCATCCCCCCCCCCCCAATGGCATTTAGCAATACTTGCTGGAGAAGGGTCTGGGCAAACGCAGTAAAGCAGATAGGAGGCCCTGGAGCGCGAAACACAGGTCCACACTCAGGTTAGCATGCCGGCTCCCACCGTCCAACAGTATGCTGCCCACCTTCTCTTGCGTAACTAAGGTTGCCTGGGCAGCATCCCCACATTTCACCACGGCGGTGCTAGCCTTGAGCCGGCTGCAAGAAAGCACCCCCACGCACACACTCAACCCCAGGCCGCAGGGACTTGCAACAGCTCTGGGCCTGACACGTTTTGTTCGGTTGTTGCAGCTATCACTAGAGTGAGCATCTTAGTTTGCCTCTCCTGGGCTAGTGGCTTCTCCCACGATGTGAGGGACAGAGGGAAACACTGACAAAATCAGCACCTATAATCCGCTAAATGCAAATGCAGTTGTTGCTTTAAGTTTAAAGAAAGGAAGGAAGGAAGGAAGGAAGGAAGGAAGGAAGGAAGGAAGGAAGGAAGGAAGAAAAGAGT